ATTTTCTCCAGATCAGGCTGTGTTTTTTTTTCTCTTTTTTTCTGATTTCCTGCATGGCTGGATATCTGCCTTCCTTCGGGGCCGGGATGCACACCCCAGCTCCTCCATCTGTTTCCTGTGTTCTCGTGCTGAAGGCCGTCATGTGCTCGGTGGGAAGAAGCATCGGCGGAAGTCGGGGAAGGCAGGCCGGGGGGGGGGGGAGGCGGCTGGGGACACCCCGTTTGCCAAAAAGATAGGCGAAAACATGCAGCCTCCCCATCCCCCCACACAGCTTTCGTTTTCAAATCTGCTTTAATCTGACTTTTAATCCGCCTTTGGCCCTTGGGGCAAGGTCCAGCAACAGCTCCTGACTTGCGAGGTCCCCATCGCTGAATTTTTTATTGCTGTTTATCGAGATGTGATGTGAATGCGCCATACGATAAAGCAACCAATCTATAAATCAATCCTTTCCCTTTCCTTCCCTTTCCTTCCCTTCCCTTCCTTTTTTTTCACAATGAAATTTTCTCCCTGAAAACAGTTTTGTTTTGACAGAGAATTGAGCATGAGACACTGGCTTAAAAAAAAAAGTGATGTTTCGCTCTTGAGCAGGATGAAAGTGTGCGGTTTTCGCTCGTCTTTCCTTTTTGTGATTTCAAGAAAAACACACAATATCGTCTCCTTCCAATTAACCAGCGGAACAGCTTGCCTTCAGAAGCTATTGGGTGCTTAAAGAAGAGACGGGACAGCCACTTGCCTGAAAATGGCACAGGGCTTCCTGCCTGAGCAGGGGGTTGGACTAGAAGACCTCCAAGGTCCCTTCCAACTCTTGTTCTTCTGTTATTTAAGGCGCATGGAACGAATGGGCTGAATAAGTAATTTAAAAAAAAATCTTCTAACCAAGGTTAACACCCAGCAAGCATGCCTCATTGTGCAAATAAAATTCCGATGCTTTGGATTGACCTGGGTCAAATAAATAGCATTAGCTCAGCTGCTACCATCTTTTGTGTTGGTTTCAGAGCTTCAAGGACCAAGCCGAGAGGACTAGAAACTTGATGTACTACTCCTAAGGGAGAAACTGTGGGTATGCTCCGGGTATCTTGTAGGAAACCTTGAATATGAGCTACCCGTCGCTTGGGAAGGTCCCCTGTGCCACTCAGAGCCTCTGAAGCTGATGGCTTCCTTCAGATTTCTGGAGAAAGGGTGTCCTGGCGTGCCACAAGCTTCTTAGCAGGCGGAGGCCTCTTTCATTCTTTGCAAACCTTGTGTGTTTGTGCTCGTTTTGTGAGCCTGCTCCCCCTACTTTTCTCTCTGCCCCGTTTCCAGTTCTAAGGGTGTCGAGGTTCTTCTTTCTCTGAATCGCTGTTTCTTCGAATTAGTTCCTTTCCTTCCCTCCCAAGAAAACATGTGGCCGAAAGTGGTTTTTGAGGTGACACACAGTGCCGGGCCAAGAATTCAGAAGCCGGGGCAGAGCTAGACCGACGGCCCACTTGTCTGCTCCTTGGGCACGCTCAGGGCAGGGCTGGGCACGCATCAGTAACTCCGTAAGCGACACTGATTTGGCCCCAGGGCGGCTCTTGTGAACGGGCAGAGTGCAGGGAGCTTGTAGTCGTCACCCGTGGGTCCCCTTGCTCAGCATCCAGCGTGCAGGACTTTGAAAGGAGGCAGAAGGCAGGACTGTGGGAACACCGGGGCTGCCTTCCTCGGTTCCGGCTGAATGTCGGAGCCTGTCCAGGGTCGTGGGTTGGACGCAGGCCAGGAAAACCCAGGAGAAAGTCTCCGTAGAAGCATGAATCTCCAGGTGGTGCTGGACCAGACCCCCAGGATGCCGGTGGGGTACTGTGCTGGTCCCAGAGAACTCTAACTTTGTTCGGCTGCTGCTCTTTAGGGTCCCTTCCAATGCTAGGTTGTGGTTCAAACTAGGATTGCTGGAAACTGCCTTTCCTTGGGGAAGTGGGGCCCTTGAGTCAGCCTGATTAAAGTCTCTTCTTCGCTTCAGTTTGTCCCCTGGTTCTCTCACTGTCCTGGTCAACCCTGGGATGGGGAGGCTGGCTTCTGAACCCAACTGTTGGACCAGGGAGGCCTCTGAGCTTTTCCCAGAACTTCCAGACAAATCTTTCTCAACCCTGCTTTTTGGTCCCGGAAGTTGAATTTGGCTGCTGGCTCACAGAGCATCTCTCCCTGGTCAGCCATGGCTGTTTCTCCTCAGCCGACAGCTGTGGAGATTTTCTCTGCTTCTGGCCAAAGTTCCCCCAGAGAGTGGCCACAATCTTCACCAACGGAGGCAAATCTACGTCTTGCAGGATCCCACCTGAGTCGGTCACCAGGACTGGAGGGTGATTCCTCCAGGCTTTTGGACTTCTGCTGGAGTCTGTTGGAGGTGGTCTCAGTGCAGGTGGGGGTCTTCAGGCGGTCTCTCTGAGGACCCTCCCTTCCATTGGGAAGCACAGGGGTCCCCCGGCCCTTGGCTCTCCCTTGGGCTGCAAGGCTTCTGGCTGCGGGGGGGGGATGAGGGGCGAGGGAGTCCCACACATGGGGGAGGCTGGAGGAGGTTTTATTTTTCAGCTCTGGCAGGGTAAATATTGCAAGGAACGTCTAAGAACGAGGCGGACTCCCCAAGTAAACTGAAAATGGTTAACTTTAGCTCCTCCTTCGCTCTCTGCCCACTTGTTCGAAAGCTCAGACTGGAAAGAAAATAACGTATGCCCCATTTCCTTTTGTGCATTTGTACTCATTGCGACACTTTCATGGGGTTTCCTTCAGTTGCGGTGCTTTTTCCTCTTTGCTAACAGCGAAGGAGCCGGTTCTTCCCTTGCCTGTTCTTTTTTTTCTTTCCTTTCTTTTTTCTTTTCGTGCCATCGGGGTGTTTTGGGCTGTTTGTGCACCCAAAGGACGCTCTGTTCTGTTTTGCAAGGCATCTGTTAAGGCTGCACGCTGGACTCTTTATCTCCCACAACCAAACATCTTTTCAGAGGCTTTGTTGCTCCGGATTCCCTTTTGAGGAACGTCTGCAAAAGCGGATGGTTCTTATTGGGCCCAGTGAAAATGTATTCATTTCCTTCCTTCCTTCCTTCTTTTCTTCTCTATTATTTGAGGGCTCCTTTCCCTATTTTTAACTGAAGTGTAAAGTGGTCAATACACCCAATTTTTTAGGGATGAGTGAGGGTTGAGGAGGGGGCATTTTATACCTCTGAATGAGCCCAGCTGTTTACTTGCAAATAGAAAAAAGTGCACAGGGAAAAGAGCACCAGAGATTTCTCTCTTCCCTGAGGCATTAGCTTTCTACTTGCAGGGATTAAAGCCAAATCAAAACATTTTGGCGGTATCTGTATTCAGGCGGACCCTGCACTCGCAGGGACCCTGGGAAGAAATGCTTGGTTTGTCTGCTGGGATTCCCACTTAACTTCCCCTGCAGGCACAGAGCACACAGGACCCCTAAACAGGGCCCCATCCTGTCTGGATTTCATGTCTTTCTTTTTTTTTCCTTCACAATAAAAGACATTTTTCAGACCAGATTTTCCAGCAAGAAAATTTGCCAAACATGTTGGAAGCCAACAAAGAGAAACAAACTCGGAGTGTATATAACTTGCAAAACGGAAGAGGCTTCCCTTGCCTTCCACTCTGAAGCTGTTCCCCCTCCCAATGCATGAGCAATCTGGACACACACACACACACACACACACAGTCCATTTTCCCCCAGCTGTTCTCACAGTTGGCTCCAAACTGCAGACCGGCTGTGACTCATGGGCCCACAAACCCCAGGAGGAGACAAAACCCGGAACGGACGTTGCCTGACCCAGACAGGGAGCAGAAGTGGCTGAGACCCAAGATAGAGGAGGGTGGAATAGGCTATTTGAGGAGCCCCCTCCTCCCTTTATGGCTCCAAGGGACTTGGCTGCACCCCCTCCTCCCCTTCAGCCCGGCACGGCTGAGTGTCTCGGATTCCACAGGTTATTAATAGATTTGTTTTGCTGCATGCTGGACACCCAGTGCAGGGGCTGAATTCCCAAAGGGGAAATCGAGGCAGGTTGAGGGGCTGTTGGTAGGACTAGAATTTGGGATCTGTTGGTAGGACTGGAATTTGGGATTTGGCCTTAGATGCCCTCTCGGCCGGATGCCCTGGGAATCTGCCGGATACGGTCAGGCGGCTTTATTGCTCAGATTCCCAGCCTGCCCAGTTTTACCAGTTCAGCCTTGCCTGGCCAGTTCTTAAGCTTGTCTTACGCAGAGGCGAAAGGTGAAAAATCAGTAAAAGCGGACCTGCACCCAGAGCCCTGAATACCTTGGGAGAAAAAAAAAAGAGTGTAAAAACTGCTTTTAACCATCTGCAGTGTGTTTTTTTTCCGAGAGAACGTTGCGTTGACAGAAAGGCTTAAGGAAGGTATTTGATGCCGGACGTTGTTGCTCAAGAGCGATTTTTCCAGCCCTGGTTTTAATCCGGCCTTCCCCACGGCCCTTTCCCTTCCTTCTGCTGGCCTTTTGGGGAGCAAGACACCAGTCCCCCTCCTCTTTTTTGGGGGGGGGGAGGAAGCAGGGATTTGGCCTCCCTCCCTGAGGGATTTCACAGATGTTGGAATCCAAAACGTTTCCTGCAGCTTTGACATGAAGTTGAACTTGCCCCTGCCCCGGAGGAGGAGGAGGCACTGCCAGGATGCAGCCTGGGGGGGGGGGGCAGGAGGGGGGCTGCTTGCGTCTCCTGCACCGCTGCCAGCAGCCCTGGCCCACGCTTGCTCCAGATCCTCTCCCGGAAGTTGGTTTAGCGCCCGTGAATCATGCTGCCCCTTGGAGCCAAGAACAGCAGGCCAGGACTCTCCGCTGTGGGACACCCACCCCCCCAGGCCATGGGGCTGGGCCTGCAGATGTCCTGCCTGGAAAATCCATGGCGTGGCTGGATTCCTGCTCCGCGTGAATTCCCTCTGGACCCGCCGCTTCTTCCATGCTGGGCAATTCAAGGAGTTGAAGCCCACAAATCTTTATAAAAAACAAACCATGTTTAACTCTGGCTTGTTCTTCTGTTTTGGCAGAGCTCCCGGCCCAAACTCCAGTCCCCTTGCTTGGCGATCCAAGAGACCCGGGCGTGCACTCGGCTGGAGATGCCCGACCACCTCCACACCTTTGTGGTCAAGGTGAGCAGCTTCCTTCCCCCACGGCTGCATCAGCCCCAAGCAGGGAGGGCTGGTCTTCTCCCCACCTGGTGCTCTGGGACCTTCCTGGATGGCTGTGCCCAGAGGCAGGATTCCTCTCCAGAAAGCAGAGGGGGCTGCTGCCGTGCACCGGGGGGGTGGAGCCATGAGCCCCAGAAATAGCAGTCGTCATGAGATGGGCCAGGGGGTCTGTCTGCAACAGCCCCAGAGATGCTTTTCCCAACTCAAGTGGCCCCCACCTGCCTGGCTGAAAACAGCCCTCCTCTGGCGTGCATTCCCAAAGGATCTCGGAGCAGATTTTTCACTTAAGAGAGCGGAAACTTTCTCCTGCGATTAGAGGACACCCCCCCCCCGAGAAGTCATCCCACCCCCGTTTTATCTGGGGAGGGGGCGTGCCTGGTTTTGCCTCTGCAGTGGGATTAATGCCTCACTTCTCCCCCAAATAGGTAAACGCCTCCACCGAAATAATATTCGAGGCTGGAGACGAGCAGCAGCTGGCTGCCTGGATAGCGGAGATTCATCAGGGCCTCCCCAGGTGAGTCGTGCAGGAAGAGAAGTTTGAGGCAACCTTCCAGAGAGGGGGGGGGCTTTTAGAACTTGACTGCTGTCAGAATAAACCACATCAATTTTTATTTTTGTTCAAGTGAGATGTTTGGGGTGCCGGGACTTTGCTTTGTGACTGGGGAATTCTGGGAGTTGAAGTCCAGGCATCTGCAAGTGGCCGAGGTTGAGAAACCCTGGCTGAAAGACAGAACAATTGTAGCTCAGGGCTGAACTGTGGGGTCCTTGGTGCTCTCTGAGTTGGGTGGTTTTGGGTCAGCACTGATAGTGTTACCTAGCTGGGTCATGAAACGTCTGCAAGAAAACCACCAAGCTCAGACAGCACCAAGGACCCCACAGTCCTCCTTCTCCTCCTCCTCCCCTCTGCAAATCCCTCTCCCTCCTAGCACTGATGATGTTCCCTAGTTTGGCCATGAAATGTCTGCAAGGAAACCGCCAAGGCCAGAGAGCATCCAGGATTCCCCTGGCTTAAGGACTTTGCTCACCTGGCTTTGGGTGTTCCCCAGGAGAGCGTCAGCATTTCTGCTGTGGTGCACCTCTGCATCCAGACCCAAGCCCTGGGGGGATGGGAGCACCTTTAAACCTGCTTTCGCCCGGGTGAAGTCTAGGATTCTCAACTGCTGTGAAACATCCCCTTCCACCCGTCCTCCCTGCTCTCCACCTGCCGGTTTCATCCGTCACCGTCCCTCTTTTTCAGATCGGAAGGCAGCCACCTTGAGGGCACCGCAGACCCTCGTTCGGAGGCCGGCACCCCCAGCCCTGCCAACAGCAGCACCGACTCCCTGCACCAAGGTGCCTGGCCGTGGGGCGTGGCATGGGTGGGGGTGGGTGGGGGAGTAGGGGGCAGCATGCAAGGGGCCTGCTATCCCTAATGATCATGGAGTGGGGGGAGCAGGGTGGGAGCGGCCTAGGAAAGAGACCTTGATGGATCTGAAGCCTTCCTTAGCTGGGTTTCATTCTGCTTGTTCAGACGACGGAGAATAAAACGGTGAGGATTAAGCTGGGGGGTCTCTTGCCCCGCCAGCTGGTAGGACCTCTCTCGATCCCGAGCAAGGCTTTGCTTATTGCCTGAAATACAAAATGCAAACATCTCGTGTTTCTGCCTGGCTTCTTTCTGTCTCATGTTGGCTGGGGAATTCTGGGAGAATTCTGGCCGAGAAACCCAGATATGTGATCGGTTAAAGGTATTCGGCTCCAGCTAAAATCCTCCTTCCCCTCCCTCCCCCAGGGGCCTTGCTCTCCAGGCCCTCCGAGCAGCCGGCCCAGAGGATGGAGCACTTCTTGTCCGCCTTCCCCTGGTTCCACGGCCCCATCTCCCGGGTCAAGGCCGCCCAGCTGGTCCAGCTGCAGGGCCTGGACGGACACGGCGTCTTCCTCATCCGGCAGAGCGAAACCCGCCGGGGGGAGTACGTGCTGACCTTCAACTTCCAAGGAAAAGCCAAGGTACGCCCAGGTTCCCTCCCTCCCCCCCCAGAGGGAGGTCAGCTCAGACTCAAGACAAGCTGACCCTGGGTGGTGCAGCCCTGGTGGGCCTTCGCGCCTTCTAGCCGGTCCGCAAAACCAGAACCGGTTTGTTTAGAAACACAGGTAGTCCTCGACTTAGCAACAGCTCATTTAGTGACCAGAGTTACAACAGCACTGAAAAAAGGGACCTAGGACCGTTTTTCACACTTACGACCACTGCAGGATCCCCGCAGGCACGTCGTCCACATTCAGACCCTTGGCAACTGACTCGTATTTATGACGGTCACTGTGTCCCGGGTTCATGCAATCCACTTTCGCGACCTTTTGACAAACAAAGTCAACGGGGAAACTAAATTCACTTAACCACTGTGGCACGAAAGGGGATAAAGCGGGCGAAAACTCGCTTGACCGACGTTTCACTTATAAGTCGAGGACTGCCTGTAAGAACTTTTATGCTTCGTGCCAAAAGGGAAACCAGGTGTAGGGTTGCTGAGATAAAGCTTCTAGTCCTCATGGAGGTCTCAAAGCCAGGGAAGCAGGAAGTGGAGAGGGCGAAGGGCTTGTTCCTTCAACGGGCCGTGCTGGGGGAGGGGGAATCGGGGGGGGGAAGGGTGTCAAAGGGTAACGTCTCTTGTGGCTCCTCCGGCAGCACCTGCGGCTTTCCCTGACGGAGCGGGGCCAGTGCCGAGTTCAACACCTCCACTTTTCCTCCGTCCTGGACATGCTGCACCACTTCCAGCACTGCCCCATCCCCCTCGAGTGTGGCACGGCCTGCAGCGTCCAGCTCTCCCGGCACGTGGTGGTCGTCCCCTCCCTGCAAGGTAGGAGGCTCCCCTGCTGAATTTTCTTCCCCCCCGGAGGGGGCCTCTTGCCACCCGGGCTGGGCTCTCCCTCCGCGGGGGCCCCTCGCGCTTCAGGGGCCGCTCGGGCTGGCCTGGGCAGTGTCCAGGTTGTCTGAGGCCAAAGCCTTGTTATGAAGGTTAAAAAGGGGCCGGTCCTCCATATACGACTGCAACAGAGCCCTGCCCAGCGTGATCGTGAATCGTGACGGTCATGAAGCAGATCAGACCTGATTGCAGGGTCTTTTTTGTGGTGGTGATCAAGCAAACCAATTCTTGCTCTGGGTCGGTTGGCCAAAAGCTGGAAGTAAATACAGGCAGTCCCCGACTTAATGACCCCAGCTGAGTCCAACAATTCTGTTGCTAAGTGAGACATTTGTTAAGTGAGTGTTACCCCGTTTTACAACCGTCTTCTGATTCTGAAGCAGGGGCCCCGGGTGACCTCCCTTTCCCCCTTCTTTCCTCCCTTCCGTCTCCCCCGCAGCCTCCGGACACCCATCTGCCTTCCCCCCGTCCACCCACGCCTGCACGCCAGAGGTCAGCTTCCTCCAGCCGAGTCCCGCCGGCTGTCCCCGGACCCGCCTGGCCGACAGCCTTCGCCGCCACTCTGTGGAGCAGATCTTCCACCTGGTGCCCCCACCTGAAGACCTGGCTGGTGGCCTCCGGCCCGGCCCCAGCAGCGCCTCCCCCGGTCCAGCCCCTTCGCCTGCCGGCCGCCGGTGGGACAGTGACTACGAGGTGGAGGTGCAGAGCCGGGGGCACCTCCGGGCGGTCAGCAACCAGTACACCTCCCTCTGACACAGCTGGCGGAGCCCCCCCATGATGGCTCTCACCCAGGACACTGGATGGCCCCGCCGGGAACTGCCTTCTTCCAGCTGCATTTATTTAGTATTTGGGTGGCAAGGCTGGGCACTGGCTCCCTTTGGGGGATGTGACTTTTCCACCAGGATCCCCTCGGCCTGCGTGTCTCTCCCGTCTCTCATCGGTTTGCACGTCTTCCTTTGCATTTGGCTTTTTTTTGGGGGGGGGGGTGGTACCCTCAATGCTTGCAGTGGCCCGTTGGGGGGTCTTCACTACCCCAGACGCCCTTGGATAAGAACTGTAGTTAAAGGCAAATTCCTCGTTTGGCTGTGGCGACCCAAACACAAAGCCAGCGTGTTCAGTTCCAGAACAAAACAAGGCCTCCTTCCTCTCTATTCTCCCTTTCTTTCTTTCCTTCTCTCACCTCTCCCTCCCTCCCTTTCCTTCCTTCCTTTTCTTTCCTGGGTCAAATTGTCCTGCTGTGGCTGGGAAGGTGTTTCAGAAGCTGCTCCTTCCCTTCAAAAACCCTCTTGAGAAAAACCTCTTCGGCCGCTTTAAAATAACTTTAAACCACCAGCAAGGCTGCCTTAAAAACCAGCATCTTAGAAACTCAGGAACCGCCCAATTCTGCCCCTTTTTGCAAAGAGCTAGCTGGTCAGCCATGCGTTGGCCTACGACAGAAGCCGAAAGCCTAACTTGGGAAAATGCACAAAGCCTACAGGGATCAAGTGCCAATTTTTTTAAGGACTTTATTTTGGTGCATTATGGGTTTGAATTCTTGTTTCCCTTCTAGGGATGCAGAAGGCAGCCCCCTGCCACGGGGGGGAGGGGGTTTGGGGTGGGCTGTGGAGGCGATGTGGGCCCTCGGTCTACGTGCCCCAGGGCTGTTACAGGAGGGGGAAGTTCCCAGTTCCCACCGGGACCGAATGTACCTCGAGGAGGAACTAGGCTGCAAAAGCAGCCACCGCAAATCATCGTAATCTAGCTGTCAGCAGGAAGCTGGAAGGAAAAAGGGGAAGTGATAAGCCTGTTAGGGTTGCCATCCCTTAACCAAACAGAGGAAGTTGAATTTGCTCTTTTCTGCAAGAGGTTGGGCTTTTTCCCTCCAGCATTCGAGGCAAGTTCAAACTAGCCGTGCCCAGGGAAGGCCCAACACACACGTGGCCTGGCTCCCTTTTAGCCAATTCACACGTGCCTTTCACCGGAAGTGCCTTTATCGAATCAGCGGCTCAACCCTGAAGGACTTTGGGCTGGAAAGTCCCAGGAACCCCCAAGAGGGGGGGGGGGAAGTTTCTAGACCCACCTTTGGCCTGTGATGTCCGCCAAACATCGAATGGAGAAGCTCCTTGGAGCGTTTAGACACGGTAGCCCGAGGCTGGAGGGGCACCCGGTAGGGCGATAGATTGAATTAAGCCTGAAACTAAATTTCACAGCAGTGGGCTTTTTTCAGCGTTAGCCATGTAAAGACACGTGGACTTCAATTCCCTGAATTCTGGGAGTTGAAGTCCACCTATCGTGAAATGACTTAACATTGAGAAACACAAGTTTTAGAGCAATATTTGATTTTTTTCCCTATCTGGTGCCTTGTTGCCTCTCTAAAGGACGATATCCAGCAGAGCCTCAAACAGAGGTGATCCAAACCAGCTTGGGATCTGGCCCACAGCCGCCCTGCCTTCAAATTACCTTGCGCCACCTTACAGGGTTTCAAATTTCGTCCCTTTCCTTGCTCACGAGAGATCATCTTTCAGAGTTTGTGTTTAGGATAATACACGGAGCTCCAAAGCTTTCGGGACTATTGCAACAAAACCTCTAAAGTCACATACATCGGAGGGGGGGGGAGAGGAACGGGGTCCTTGGAGAGAATTGAACCCAGGATTTAATGCGAGCGTCTCCTAACTTGGGCCATTTTAAAGACTTGTGGACTTCAACTCCCAGAATTCCCCAGCCAGCACGTGCTGGCTGAGGAATTCTGGAAGTTGGAAGTCCACAAGGGGCCAAGTTTGGAGACCCCTGATGGAAGAGAATGACCTCTGCACACACGGGGGCCTGTCCAGTTGTATTCCATGCAAGAAGGGATGGGCAGATGGGTGCCAGAGTTGCCACCTGCAGACGTTGTTTGGCCTCCTGCAGGTTTGAGCCTTGCAATCCAACAGGGTTGGCCTCCACAGGGACAGCATCCCGCCCGAGGTGGGATGGGTTCCACAGCTTGGTTCTTTCAAATAATAAATTTGGAAATAATAAAGAAAACCAAATTGCTCTTTTGAGGAAGAAAGCCGTGTGTTGTTTTTTTTCCCCAGCCTCTCCATTCACTTACAGAAGTTCTCATCCCTACGCCTAACGGGTCAAATCCTTCTAAGTTATTCTGATGTGCTCCTTTCCTTAAAATAAACTGTTCAGAGATGTTCACAGCTAGTTCTAGGGTCTCTTTAATTCTCCTCCCTACTCCCAGGTGCTCCTGTTGGTCAAATCTTAACAAAAGATGCTTTCTACTAAAGATAAAATATTAAGGCAGTCACAACTCTTAGGATAGGAAGACCTGGGGCTTCTAGCATTACTAGCCGGGGTGAAAAATCAGTATAAATTTGACCCAGGTTGCTTAGCACATCTTTCTTGTGAGGCTGAAGGCTGAGCCACTCAACCAGGTGCCAAAGTGTTTGGAGAAAGGAGACAGGAGAAAAGAAAAAAGGAAAGAAAGAGAAAGAGAAAGAAAAGGGAACCAAATATACCACAGAGAAAGAAAGAAAAGAAAAAAAAGAGAGAAAGGGGAACCAAATATACCACACAGATGCTAGCAGGAAAGGTCAGTTTTTAAAACTTTTTTTTATTTTTATGATTATTTTTTTAGTTTTTATTTTATATTATCTACAAAGTAAGTTTTCCTCTTAACTTAAAAGTTAGACCGCTGCCTTGGGACAGTGGTTCTCTTTCCCCCTCAGACATGATTTTCGTTTTATAAATAATAAATCCATATCCATTTGACCATTATTAGATTTCTTTCCCCCACAAAACCTCTTTTAAGTTTAGTTAGTGGCAGAAGGGATTTTTTTTTGTTTGTTTAGAGTCTTGATTTACATAATTACTATTTGCTATTATTATTTTTAGTGAGAACAGCAACAAGACTCACCTCTTGTTACTTCGGGTTCTCTACGCTCATGAATTCGTAACTCTGAAGGGCTGTTTTAAAAAATAAATAGCTTTTCCAGTTTTTGTTTTTCTCTTTTTCTGCAAGCGGATTGGGGCCGTTTTAGTTTCTTTGACACAACGCACGGAATCGTGGAATCGTCCCCCGGAGGGATCGACCTGCCTGTGACTCAGTGGTCCAAAAATTCTCCCACCGGAAGGTTGGAAACCATTAGCATCCCTACCGGATGTGACACCTTGGTTTTTTATCGTTTTTCGCTCTCGCCTTAAAAATAAGTGAAATACTAAGGGTTTTTTGTTTGTTTGTTTGTTTCATTTGCTTTTGTTTTGTTTCTGTGCTTCCAAGTTGGATGAAGCAGGAGAAAAAAAAATGAAAGGTATTTGGCCTTTTTAAAAAAAAAAAAAAAAAGAAAAGAAAAGGAAAAAGAAAAGAGGGATCCAGCCTCAGTTACTCTGCCAGGTCAGCTTTACAACTGCTGTTGATGGTGAGTGGGAACTGCAAGAGAGAAAAACAATAAAACAAAAATAACAAGAAATGTTGAGATCTAAATGGGAAGAACAAGCCAAAGCCCATCCGTTTAACCCAGTGTTTCTCAGCCTTGGCCTCCTGGAGTTGGGTGGGCTTCAACTCCCACAAATTCTGGGAGATGAAGTCCCCCCCCTCCCCATTTTAAAGCAGGCTAGCTGGGGAATTCATCTTCAACAGGTCAAGGTTGAGAAACATGGACTTGGGCCTCCCTTGGTCAACAGCTTGCGTCTCCGGACCCTCTCCCAGTCCAATACCCCCCTCCTGTCCCCAACTCTTGGTCTACAACCAGGAGGAAGACGAGGAGACCCTGATGGAAATCCACCTTCCCAAACCCCAAAGGTGCCAACAGAGGGAGCCAGCCCCCCCCCCCTTGCAAGGGGCGCATTCTGGACCCGCTTCCAAAGCAGCAGTTTGGGCATTGGCCAAGCGGGAGCCGACCTCCCTGCCTCCCTCAGGCGCACAACTCCCGCAACCTCCTCCTCTTCGCTCCTGGCTTCCTGGCCAGGCGTGTGGACGGCGCAGGGCTCACCTGAAGGGTGCGTCATATAGGGGAAGTGTGTGGCTGTGGACACTGGAATGTGCTGCAGTGCACTCTGCGCAAGGGCGGCCTGGGGTCCACCGGGCGGCGGCTGCGTCGTCATGAGCATCACTGGAGCATGGGTAGGGGGGTGGGAAGGAGCCATGCCTGACTGCACATGGGCCTGGGACAAAGAGCAAGGCCGTCAGGAGACCCCTCCTCTGTCTGGGGACCCTCAAGAGCCACCATCACCCCCCAGGGCTCCTGCTGCCTGTCCAGGGTTAAAGAGGAATCTCGGTCGAGACTCGCAAAGGGCTGCCACCTGCCGATCTGGGTTGTGCGAGGGCCGGAGGGTCTCCTCCGTTTCCCTCCATCCGTCCCGTCGGACCCCCGTTTGTGCCAGGACCCTCGGCACAGGGCAGAACGGCTTGCGTGGGCCAAAGCCCTACGACAGACACGCCAGGCAGGTCCCCCAGACCCAGCGGGGGAAGGGACTGTGGGGCCGGCCGGCTCAGAGCAAGGTGGATGGAAGCCCCCCTCCCAAGAGCAGCCAGACGGGGAGGGTCCTGGGCGAGGGCCCGGAGGGCCGGGGCTACCTGGGGCATGTGGGCCATGTGGGGCGGGTTGGTGTAGGCCGGCTGGACGTGGGACGGATGGATGGCGAAGACGGTCGGCTGGCCGGTCGGGAAGCTGCTCTGCGGGGACTGGGCGCTGGAGCCGGGGGTCATGGAGGGCGGCGTGGGGGCCAGGCCGGCGTGGTAGATGGCCGACTGCTGCTGGGCACTGGTCAGGTGGAGGGCCTGGGCCGCCTGGTGCTGGTGGGGCTGCGGAGAGAGGGGCAGGGGGACACGTCACACAGTGGCACGGCCGTCGCCAGACTCAGCTGGTCCTCAGCTTACGACCAACGGGACATCTCCGCTGCTAAGCGAGGCGGTGGTGAAGTGAGCCACACCCTATTTTACCACCTTTTATTCTGCCGGTTAAGTGAATCACACGGTCGTTAAATGAATGTGGCTTCCCCTGTTGATTTTACTCGCCAGGCGGCCACAAATGGGGGTCACATGACCCCCACCCCCACCCCCTCCAGGATGTGCAACCGTCATAAATACACTAGTTTTTCACACCTTGTGAAAATGAACGGCCACTAAACGAAGGGAGGAGTATCTGCATCGGGCAGGCGTTCCTCCGAGTCTTCGGCAACCCTCCCCTCTCCCAGGGGAGCCCCTGCCCGTCCTCCTGGGGGGCTGCAGCCCAAAGGGGGGGCTCCCCTTCCACCCCACCTGCTGCCCGGGGGAGGAGCACTTACCTGCACCGGGCTAGGGGCCGGGTGGCTCCCCCCGTGCTGCGACTGCTGCTGCCCCGTGGGGGTGGCCGAGGGCTGCGGGTGGGGGCTATGTGGGTGCAGGCCGGCGCTGGGGTGGGCATACTGCTGAGCGAGGGAACCGGTGGAAACTGGGGAGGGGGAGACAAAAGGCAGGAGGGATGGGAAAAGGCCCCCCCACTCTTTTCAGGCGGCTAACGGAAGTCTCGGACGCCGCTTTTAAGAAACCACTTCCCCCCCCCCACTTGCAGGTTTGGCCTCCTGCTTCATCTAAAACACGGGAGGGGGCTTCCCTGGGGGTCTCACCCCCTGGATTTCACCCCTTCCATTTCCTCTTTGTGCACAGAGGAAGGTGGGGAGGGGGACTTCAATGGAAGGGGGAGGCCATCACTTCGCAGCCCCAAAAAAGGGGGCACAATGTCCCCAATTCCTCGTCCTCCGAGCCAATGCTCTTCCCTGAAAGACCCTCCTGCTTTTCTTGGGCAGGGGTCCCTAACAGCTCAGCCTTTCTCTGCCTCGGCAGCTTGAAGACGGGTGCACCAACCCCCAAAGCTGGCTGGGGAATCCTGGCGGGTGAAGTCCACCCATCTTCCACCTGCCAAGGCCGACAAACTGCCAGCCCGCAGTGCACAAGAGGGCAACTAGAAAAACATTTGGAGTTAACTTTCTGGTCTGCTAGACGCCCCTGAAAAGAAAAAAAGGGGGGTGGGGGCGGCAGAGGGGCAGAGTCCAGGCATCAAGAGGCCCCTGGCATCTCCAAGCTGCGCCTGCAAATGCTGCTGCTTTACAGGGGGCAGAAATGTGATGGGGGGGAGGGAGGGCAGCTCTCTGCAGCTGCCCTCCCCAAAGCTGACTTCTCAAGGAAGCAGCTGGAGGCTTAATTCTGCACGAGAAGTGAAAAACTGAAAGTCAGCAAAAAGGGAGAAGAAAGGGAAGGAAAAGGAAAAGTCGGAAAGGCTAATTGTGGAACAGAAACCGGGGTTTAAGAACAGGGTGAGAGGAGGAAGCAGCCCAGTTCAACTGGGATTCCATAAATGAGCTGGGAGGAACTCCTGACCACAATTCAGGCCGGAGACTGCCAAACCCGGTTAGATGGTGGTCAAGATCTTTGCCTGAAGGGTAGGAAGGCTGGCTCTCTTTCCCAGATAAAGTGGGCAACGACAGCCGCTTTATGACCTGTGGACTTTAACTCCCAGAGTCCCAGAGTCATTTTTACCTGCGCTTCTCTGCTAAAGGTTCCTCCGACAGCTTCCTTCCTTCAGCATCTCTGGATATCCTACCAGTTCACTACCCCTCACCAACCAGAGGGAAAAATAAGATTCCTTGTGCCTTTGAGAAAAGGTTTGGTGCAAAGAGAGGAGAGGGCCTCTGATCCCCCTTTTACCAACAAGATTCGTGCAACGTGTAACATCAAAGTTAGTACAAAAAAAAAAAAAACCCAACTCACTGGCAAAGTAGAAAGAAGGGCCTGTCTCCTTGCTGTAGGGTATTTTGGGACATGCTGGATTTGAGAAATAAAAAGGGAAATTAGCCACATGCCACAAGATTAAAAGCACCACTTTCAGGCTTCTGGAAAAGGTTTAACAGTCAATTATCGTGGTTTGTTTTTTTTTTCATGCACAAACCAATTTGCAATTTTTTTAAAAAAAAAGTTAAGAAGTTTCCAACAGGTTATGATTGTCAGTCGGAATTCGTTACTATTAACATGTTCACCATTAAAATCATTTCGCATACGATTAAGACACAACAGGAAAAATACACAGGATTCAAATGTATTTCGAGCAATTGGCAACCGAGATTATAACACTGATTATGATCCAGGAAGCCCAGCCCTTGCTTCCCCCCCGGGGAAACTCAGCCCCTGGTCGGTTGATCACACTGGATTCCCAGCAGAGAGAGAAAAATCAGACATAGGAGAGCACTAAAGTCAAAAGAAAAATCAAAATACGACTCAGGGTCTGCATGCTCTTTGGAACCAACTGCTCGGTTCTTAGGAGTGTAAAACCTGCTGTTGTTCAGATTTATCTAAATCAGGGGTAGGCAACCTTGGCTCTTTTATGACTTGTGGACTTCAACTCCCAGAATTCCTGAGCCAGCATAAAAGAGCCAAGGTTGCCTACCCCTGATCTAAATGGAGACTTGGACTAAATCTGAGCCAAAGGCCTCCGTTCCCTTGGTTAGTTGTGACTTTGATGGAGCCACAGAAGCATCGTCTCTCAGCTCTTCCTCCAGAGAAAGGAGGAACCGGGGTACTTAGCGTTTCTTCGGCGCTTCAACACGTTCAGAAGACGACAAACATTTCGGTACCGAGATCAGGGAGACACATTAAAGCAGAGTTTTTCAAGCTTGGCCGCTGGAAGGGGAATTATGGGAGCTGGAATTCCACCCGTCTTCAAGTGGCCAAGGTTGAGAAACGCTCATTTGAGTCCTGTTCTACCCCAAAACGTAGGATGACTTTGAGATTTTAACCAGTTTTCTCTGTTTCCAACAAGCTAAAGAGCATCCTATCACTGCCAGGATGGCACCCTGCCAAGATCCTAGTCCTCCAATCCTTAAATACTGAAGCCCCAAGAATACCCCCCACCAATTTCTTATCTCAAGGGCTGGATCATCTCCCCCACAGACCCTTTTGTCAAGGAAAAGCTGGCTGAGCTGCCCCCCCCCAGCTAAATGCTGGTCCTCTCGCCAGTCTGTGGGGGAACCTGGCTTAAAGTGGTTTCACCACCTAGGGACAATGGGGGGGGGGGTTTCAGGTGTTTCTGTTCTCCCAACAGGCAGGCTGTGTTCAGGACCCAGTCGACAAGACGGCTGAATTTTCACTGGGGAGTTTCAGTGCAGACAAGATGGCGGCCAATTAGGTAAATAGATAAATAAGGCACCCTGCCTAGAGACGAGGATGACTGAATTGGGTAGGGGGGATCAGGCAGAGAAGGGTCTCGGGATTCCCCTAACTGGGAGCATCCACAGCTTGGACCCTCCCTGCAAGTGGGCTGCATACTTGAAATGGCCCTGCTGGGGGGGGGGAGGTCACAGGAATTTCGCAAGAAAACCCAGACCTGCTGCAGCTGCCCCAAACCTCTCCGTAGACAAAGGGGGCATAAGCCTGGGAGGGGAACGGTCTAGAAGCAGCCCCAGAGCCCCCATCCCACCCCCAGGAGGAGGAGGAGGAGGAGGAGGAGCACCTAAGAAAGGTTAAAATCATGGCAACTAAACCAAAGTTTGTTAACCCGAGACGTTTCGTTACTCATCCGAGTAACTTCATCAGTCAAAATAAAGAATTTGGTTAGGCAGAGAGATGTCGGAATGTATGGTCCCCCCCTCCTCCCCCCCCCAGGCCTTCCTCCTGTCCTAAGAGCCGGAGTGAGGGTGTCCCCCACTTCCGGGGAGCTGATGCTGACAGGCAGCCTCGGGGATGGCTGAGCACAGGGGAGCCTCTGCCCGTGGCCACTGGAGGCAAACACAGGCCTATTCATGGCTGAAGAATTGGCTGAGCGCTTCCTGTCTGGGGAGAGGGCCTGCAGGCACTCTGTGTGTGTGTGTGTGTGTGTGTGTGTGTGTGTGTGTGTGAGCAGCCCAGCTGAAGCTGCCGAGAGGCAGGGATTGGGGGGGGGAGGCAGGAGGATGGAGAGGGGCCGCCTGGCGCCAGGAGAGGTACCTGTGGCTGGAGAGAGGCAGGGGGCCCTGGGGTCCACCAGCAAGGCCATTTCGGCCAGGAGGCTCTGGGGTCTGCACTGGCACGTTCACACAGGCCGGGAGGGACCGGGGAGAAGCAGGGACAATCCACCATCTGGGGAGGGGGGGCTGCAAATATTCTGACTATTCCGGAGACGGATCAGAGACTGAGACGGGGGCCACGAGGGGCTTTAGAATTGTCCTTTATTCTTCAAACCAACATTGTTTAACAGTGGTTTTGTTTTCCTGAACAAACTCAAAAGACAAAGTGCCGCTTTCCTCTCCTCTGCTCCGCAAACGCGCTGCCCTGCGTGGTGGGTGGGTGGGTGGGTGGGTGGGGGGCGTTAAAAGTTTTTTTTGTTTGTTTTTTAAAAAAAGAATGCAAATCAGGTCATCCTACCATACATCGCATGCGTCTGCTCGTGGGCCCCGTACTGGGTGGCAGGAGAAGAAACCAGGCCGGGCTGTGGGTGGGCCGGAGGCGCCATCATCCGAGCGTTGCCCGGAATGACAGGGCTATAGACGTGGGGGTGCTGTGGGGAGAAGGAGGAGGAGAAAGAGAGAGAAACGAAAGAAAGAGAAAAGGAGAGAGAGAGAAAAGGAGAGAGAGAGAGACAGACCGTGAGGGCTGGAAACACAGAGGCGACTGCTGGGTGGGTTCTGGCCCCTCATGAAGGTGCCTATGAGGCAGCCTAGGACCTGCCCCCCATCTGAAGCCAGACCAGCCCCCCCCCATCTGAAACGTTCTGGTATTGACAATCCCCTCCCCCTTGCTTGTCCCCACAGCATGGAGGAGGACCAGTCAGTGGGAACCACAGCAGACTCTCCTCCCCACAGGACCCAAAAGCTGCCCCAACACCTCCCTCCAGACGGGCCCCCCTTGCAATGAGGGAGGGGCCCACTAGGAAAGTCTCTGGCCACCTGTAGCCATGCTGGGGGGAGCACTCTGCAGGTGGGGGGGGTGCTCCGCGATCTGGAGATCCGAGTTCTGCAGCAGGTTGGGGCCCAGTTGCTGCGGGGGGGGGGCAGGCCATACCTGAGACTGGTAGTGGGGGACGTGCTGCACCAGAGGCTGGCTGGGGAACTGCTGGGGGCTGTAGGTGACGTACTGGGCCGAGTAGGCGGGCGGTGTGGCAACCATGGGGGCCCCGGCGGCCGAGGCCGGGTGCATCAGGGGGTTCTGGGGATGAGGGTCTTGCCGCTGCTGAGGCATGTTGGCCACTGTGGAGAGAGAGAAGGGCACTTCCAGTAGGGCACCGTCTTCAGCTGCCGCCCCCCCGTGCCCTGGCCCCCTCCCGCTGCTGCCCAGCTGAGCCCTAACCCTCTGCACGAAGCCCAAAAACACGCCCCCCCACCGTGGTCTCCTCACCTTTACCTGTTCTGTAGGTCTTGGCCTGGTTGACTGGCATCGGGGTCATGGGGATGGGGTATAACGGCTGGAAAAGAAAGCAGGCGGCCGCTGAGAAGTCAAGCCGGACCGTGGCCACTTGAAGCCTTGTGGACTTCAATCCCCAGAATTCCCCAGCCAGCATGAGGCTGAGGAATTCTGGGAGTTGAAGCCCACAAGCCTTCAAGTGGCCGAGTCTGGGCCCCTGGGCTCTAGACCGTCCTTCCCTTGCCCTCTAATGGGCTACAAGACAGGAGCCCCCCGTGCCCCCCTTACCTGGACGCCCGGGCTGACAGGAACCGGGTACATCATATTGGGAGCAAAACAAACAGGCTGGGTGTAGACAGGAGCCGGCTGCTGGTGCCCCACCATCGAAGGGCTGGGCTGGGCTGGCGGGCGGGGCGAGGTGGGCGTGGTGGAAGGCTTGGGCTGCCAAAGACAGGACGGGGGGGGGGGACACGGGCAAGATGACCCCTCCAGGAGCAACTCCCGTGGGGCCCAACACACCCTGTGTGGACACAGAGAGCTCCGAGCTCTCCTTCTGGCAGGACCACCATTCTGCTTCAAATTCCCATTGTTAAGCGAGGCAGGGGTTAAGTGGGTTTTGCCCCATTTGGCCTCAGCCCCAAAGGAGCAGCTCTGCTTTTGGGGGGCTCAGTCCCCCCTCAGACCCCCCCCCCCAGGCTCACCTGGGCGAAAGACCGAGGGTTGAACTCCTTCGCGTGTGGGTTCAGCGTGGATTTTCTGACTTGCCTGAGGAGGGGACAAAAGACACAAACACACATGCACAAGAAGGCAAGGGAGACACACCTTGGTCTTGTTTCAGGAGACCTGAGGCTGCACACGGCAATAGAGCCTCCCCTTTCCCCACTGAAAGTAAATATCTGAGGGAGGGAGGGAGGGATAGGAATGGAGAGGATGGATGGATGGATGGATGGATGGGAGGAAGGGAGGGAGGGAGGGAGGGAGGAAGGAAGGAAGGAAGGAAGGAAGGAAGGAAGGAAGGGAGGAAGGGAGGAAGGAAGGAAGGAAGGAAGGAAGGGAGGGCCTTGGCCTAAACAGGCATGGTATAAAATAAATAGAATTTAATACAGCGAAGAGAAAGGAGAAATTGAATCAATCACTAGAGGGGCCAGGAGGACTCTCTGGTCCACAAATGAGACAGAGCAGGGTGCCCCCTAGTGGACAAACCAAGCAGCTGCCCACTCACCTAGCCTTCATCAACCTATGCCTTGTGTGTGTGTGTGTGTGTGTGTGCATGGAAACCCCCCCACAAAAATGCTCCTCCAAAGAGAGGCATAAAAGACCCCCCTCCCTCCTCCCCCCCCAGCCTGAACCGAGCAAGGCTTGGCAGAGAACTCAATGCCCCTCGGGGTCTCGCCCACCCCCAGGCCCGGCCGGCTGGACCCGAGGCCGCCTCACTCACTCGCTGGCCTCCTTTTTCTCCTCCTTGTCCTCCCTCTCCTGCTTCGCTCCAGGGCCCGATGTCTGCACGCCCTGGGAGGTCACCTCCGGCCCGGCCTTCTGCTCGGACAGGCTGCTGGCGGGAGAAGCGCTGGGGCTGTTTGGGGAGCTGCTCCCGCCGGCCGAGGGGGCCGCGCTGCTGACCGGTTCGGCCGCCGAGTCCTTCGGGCTGGGCTCCACCTTCTCCTTGGGGGCCTCCCGGGGCTTTTCACCCTCTCGGTTTTTACTCAGCAGCTGCTCCACCGTTTCAGGGGTAGAACTGGGTTGTAACTGGGGGAAAAGAGAGAAAGAGGAGGGGGGGAAATGGAATTATTTCCTAATCTGAGACTTACAGAGGGAAGAGACCGTCCGGAATGGGGGTGCCGCCTGGGCCCTTACCCTAAAGTCGTTCTTGAATTTCTTCAAATCGTCAATCTGTTTCCTGTGTTCTAGAACAGCCGGAGAAACTCCTGTTTGAGCAAATACGCAACCCATCACCTGGTGCACCAATGCCGGTGGCCGGGCGCCCCACTTTTGATCACGTGACCGTGGGGACGTTGCAACGGTCGTTAAGGGGGAGGACCGGTTATAAGTCACCTTTTTCAGTGCCATTGCGACTCCAAATGGTCACTAAACAAACGGTTATAAGGGGAGGACTCTCTGTACTGACGCTTCCCCCAAATTATTCTCCAATACTCAAGACTTTCCCCAAACACCGAGAGATGCGTTTCCTCTCTTCCCACTGAAAATGCCCTCGGAGGTTGCCGCCTCCACAGCCTGTTCACCTACCAATGTGCCTTTTTCAAGGTCCAGAAATGAAGAGAATCAGACAAGCTTTAGCCAGGCCTCACCTTTGCCGCCTTCCGGCTTGCTAAAATTGGGAGAAACTTCGCTGGGCTTGAGATGTTCCTTGGCTGCCGCAGGGGAAGAGCTCTGCCTCTGCTCGTTAAGCCGGGAGTCTTTCGCTAGGAAGGAAAACCAGGGTCACCTCAGCGGTGTGAGTCAAACGCCCGGCTGGATTTTCCACGCACGGCATTCTGACAACCCAAGTGGCAGCATGCAGGCAGGCAAACTAGAAGATTGTCGTGCAACTTAAAAAGTCTACCGAACGAAAGTTTGACCGATAGAAGAAAATATTTGCAGCTTAGGGTTGAAATGAGGGGTCCTTGGGGGGTCTCTGAGCATGGCTGTTTTCTTGCAGACGTTTCACGACCCAACTAGGGAACATCATCAGTGCAACGGAATGTGGCGAACCCCACACTCCCTCACACTGTTATGGAATTGGGTCATGAATCATCTGCAAGAAGGCCAAGAGAGCACCAAGAAGCCCCCAGTCCTTGTCCTCCTCCCTCTCTTCTTCTTCTCCCCAAATCACCCCCCCCTTCTAGCACTGATGCTGTTACCTAGTTGGGTAATGAAACGTCTGCAAGAAAACCGCCAAGCTCAGAGAGCACCAAGGACCCCACCAACAAAATTTTGCTCCATCTATTTCCTAGAGGAAAAGATGGCACTCTAAGTCCAGAGATTAAATGTCGGCCTAAATGGCCGATCCTCATCCAGAAAACCAGTAAACCCACTTCACATCTAAGGCCCAAACTGGGGGAAGCCCCTTGTTCCCCGTTTCCTTCGGCGTGAGATCAACCTCTGTCTGTGCCTCCCGAGCCAGGCTCAGCCCTGGGAAAGGCTGAGAAGCCAGCCAGGGGGGTCCTTTACCTTCCGCAGATGGGGTGCCTGCTCTGTTGGCGGCAGGACTGGTGGGGGTGGGCGAGGCTGCGGGCACCGGGGTGGCTGCAAATTCGGCCGGGGTTGAGCCAGCTTGGGGGGAAGACAAGGCTGGGCCGGAAGGGATCCCTCCCCCGCTGCTCTGCCTCGGAGACCGGGGTCTGTGCGCCTTGGGGGACGACCTGGTCACTAGAAAGAGAGGACAGGACAGTTTGTTACGAGGCTCCCCAGCTCTCCACAGGCAAACCTACCACTAGGATCTGGGCCCAAAATGGCCAAGCTTGGCAATTTTAAGGCTGGTGGACTTCAACTCCCAGAATTCCCCAGCCAGCAACGCTGGCTGGGGAATTCTGGGAGTTGAAGTCCACCAGCCTTAAAGTTGCCAAGCTTGGCCAACCCTGATCTAGACAGAGATATTAAAGTGGCAGCAAAGGGCATCAATGCCACCACCGTCTGACCAGGATCTTCCTAACTTCCTAAGACACGCGTGATGCAGCATTTCTGGTCACACGTTTGCTGACAGCCCGTGATTCAACGTGGCCCTTTCAGCGGCGAGGCACCTGCCAGAATCCCAAGCCAGCCTGGCCAAAGGATTCCTGGTTACAAGGTGTGTGTGTGTGTGTGTCTCTCGGTGTACACATTGTGTTAAGTCCCCAAAACGGCCTATCTCCGACAGCCGCCGGGCGCAAGGAGGCCGGTGTGGAAACCCAGGGCTGTTTTAAGCCCAAATGTTTGGAGTAGGACATTCCTATCGTGAGTAAAACTTCACTTACCCCCCATGACCACCGAGGACCACGTCCCACCTGAAGAGCTGCTTCGGGCTGAGGAGGAAGAGGAGGAGGAGGAAGAGGAGGAGGAGCCGGCGGCTTCACCCGGCACGTTGTGGGAGACAAATTCTAAGCCGCTCGAGATGACGCCCCTCCCTGCCGGGACTCGGTGGCCTCGCGGGTGCCGCTGCGCCTTGGGAGACATCCGGGGGGGTCCTGGAGAAAGCAACACAACCCCCAAACTGTGTATACCACACAAAAGCCCCCTCAACCACATCCCACCAGGGCAGCAGCATTTTAGCCAAGTGGCCATGCAGGTAATCCTCAATTTACGACCGTAGGACAGCACTGAAAAAAGTGGCTGATGACGTTTTTCCCCACCTGGGGATCCACTGCAGCTTCGTGTGTGTGTGTGTGTGTGTGTGTGTGTGTGTGCTGGGATCGCCATTTGCAACTGTCCGAGCCAGCTTTTGACAAGGAAATTCAATGGGGGAAGCTGAATTCACTTACCATCAAAGCAATAAAGGTCGTAAAATCGGGCACGGTTCACTTAATGTCCTTGTGGCTTTAGTGACAGAAGTTCCAGTGCCCAATTGTGGTCGTAAACCAAGGACTATCTGTTATGAGGTTTCACTGGATTTTAAAGCCTCTTCCTGCCTTCGGCTCTCCAAGAATTGGCAAAATACAGTTATGAACCGGGACGTCTCTTCCGAAAAAGCCCAGTTTCGATTTATGTTTTTCTTATTTTATGATGCCCGGCACGAAAGGGATCTCCAATATTTTCCCCACAGGATTTCAGCACGACTATTTCACAGCCTGATCCTATCCTTCAGGTGAACCGATCACCGCTACTCCAAAACGTAAATTTAGCTGCATGCCGATTCTCTAAATTTGTGATGCTTGCGATGCTCCCCTACTGAACAGGCCTCCCTTCTCCCTTCTCCACTCGGCCAAACAGACTTTTTAGAAACCACCACAACTTTAAAGGGAACACAGAGACCCCATGAAATTCTACCTAACTTTCATCTATTCTCCCAGAAAACCAGGCTCTTCAACGGGGATTTGCCGGGATTAAAATTTGAAAGAGGACGTTTCTGATGAATGTGCAAATAGGAAAGGAGGAAAATTTTGTGACAAAAGGGTGGAGGGAGCCAACGTCACTTTGTGAGGACAGAGATACACAATCTTCTCATCTGCGGGGGGGGGGGGGAGAGAAACTTACACAGTCAAATCCTCCAAATCTTCTCCAATTTGACCTATAATCTCCCACTTCCCAAACAACATCCAGTATCCCCCTTAATAAATTTATTTATTTGATCTCAAAGTCTTCTAGAGGAGGGGTCCCCAACCTTGGCCACTTTATGACTTGTGGACTTCAACTCCCAGAATTCCTCAGCCAGCCATGCTGGCTGAGGAATTCTGGGAGTTGAAGTCCACAAGTCATAAAGTGGCCAGGGTTGGGGACCCCTGTTCTAGGGTACTTTCTGGAACTAAATTCATGATTCATCCTAAAGAGAAAATAAACTGGGTTTTCAATTTAACCCAGTTTCTCAAGCTTGGCCGCTTTAAGACGAGTGGGCTTCAACTCAACAGAATTCCCCAGCCAGCAGGTGAAGTGGCCAAGGTTGAGAAACACTAGCTGAACCTCACATCTGAATGGACCGTCCACTCTGGCTGGAAGCAACACGGAGCCCTGAAGACGGCTTGTGGCAAGGGGCCACGTGACGCCTGAGCCTCCTTACGGTTAACAAGGGACTGGGGAAGCCACGAGACCTGGGAGCCACCATCACACAGCCAGAGCTCTCGCATCTACATGGGCTTTGCTACACCGTGAATGGTGCTTCTTCGCCTCTTCCGGCTCACTCCAGGCCAACGGAGGAGGAAGCCGGCAGGCCAGCCCAGCGCCCTCCGCTCTTCTCCGAGAGCCCCGGCTCCTCTCTGACCCGCCACTCGCAGAAAAAGGGGAGGGGGCAAATGAAACACAAAGATAAAAACGCAAACGCGTGAACAAACAAAACGTTTTGTGCTCTTGGTACCTTCTGAAGACATGCGTTTAGGCAGAGTAGAGACGGGAGCTGGAGAGCCATAGTCAGAGGGGTGAGACGGGGCCCTGGAGGAGCGCGAGGGGGGCCTGGTGGGCGGCCGTGTAGGGGTGGCTGCCCGTGGTGGAAGAGAGGTGGGAGCTGACTGGTAGCGAGGTGGGCGAGAGGAAGGAGATGGGCAAGGCGATGGCCAGGGAACACCTGACAGAACAAATGATATGAAGAAGGAAAGCATAAAAACTAAAGCAAAATAAAAATTATGGGGGGGGGGAACAGGGTGGGGGTGAGGGGGGAAAGTAAAGATGACCACAATGGCTTCTCATCGTATTGGGGGTTTCTGCCAGCTCACACTAAACCTGGGGAAGGCCGTTCGCATCTGATCCCAGAGTATCGTCTTCGAGAAGGTCACCCTCAACCTCCGGGGCACCACGGTGGCCGTCTCCCCAAAGGCTGGCCTTGAGGTCCCCGGGAATACTTGCCTCCGTTAACGATCCTCTGGTCGGTCCCCGAGTGGAGGCTGTAGTCTGACGAGTGAGACCCGGGTCTGGACACGGAGGGGCCCGATCCAGACGGGCCGGCCCTCGGTGCATTCTGCCTTCCGGCACCCCAAGGAAGGATGTCTCGATTGCGCTGGCTGGGAGGGATGTACTTGTTCTCCCTGGGAAGGACAGAGGTGCCATTTTAGATAGACAGACAGACAGAAAGAGGGATGGATGGAAGGATGGAAAAGAAAGGAAGGAAGGAAGGAAGTAAGGAAGTCCCTGGTTCCCCACCCCACCCCCTTTCCCCCTGGCTCTACCTGGGGGCTGCCAAGGCTCCTTCTCGTTCGGCGGCATTCCGCTGAACTGCTGTGTATTTTTCTTCTTCGGAGCGTTCATCGTTCTCCAAAGCCGCCCGAGCCTTGTACTGAGCGCTGGATTCGATTTCTTCCGCTAATTGGGTCGCTCTCGCTTCCCGTTTTAAATAATCTTCTGAATTATCTCTTTCTAGGGGTACCCTAAAACCAGGGCGAGAGACAAGGGGATCCATCTGTGATCCAGAGTATGTATATATATATTTCCACGGATTAAACACATTAGGATAAAATTCGGAGGAATTTGTGGATGATGAGATACACAGCACAAGGAACACAAGGGTTTAGGTCAACGTTTCTCAACTTTAAGCCATTTTAAGAGGGTGGACGTCAACTTCCAGAATTCCCCAGTCAGATGTGGTGGCTGGGGAATTCTGGGGACTGAAGCCCACCCCTCTTACAACGGCTAGTTCTAGGCCAAAACCTTGATGCAGCCCTGTAAAAACCAGGCAACCGATGGCAACGTACGTGTAGGAAGCCAAACTGCTGTCGTACGTGGAAACCACCCCGTAGTTTTCTTCGTTGTAGCGAAACATGTCGTTGGGATCCCATCCATTGGACTAGAAGGCAAAAAAAGGAAAGAAGTCCAAGGGTTAAAATGGCACATGGGTACAAAAATAAGTTTTCTCGCATTTAAAAGCTCCCTGCATCTTCCTAAACCTTTTAACCAAAGCTGTCGCCGAAGACCCAGGTCAACGTTCATCCCTTGAACAAGTCCCTCTGACTTGGATGAAATTAAGAAGCGGGAGGGAAGGGGAGACAGTCATCAGAGGCAATTCTCTTTCTGGGGCCACGGGTGTAAACCCCTCAAAGACCCCCACGCCCTCTGGAACTCAAGTCAAGGGAGGCTTACAACGTCCGTTTCTAAAGCTTCAAGGTCTTCCGCCGTCGCGCCTTCTCCTCCGTCCCAGGGCTCCAGATCCTTCTCCTTGTGTTCGCCATTAACTTTAGCACTGATGGCAGAATCGGTAAAAGCATCTGTGATTGAAGGAAACAGCATCAGAAAACGTCATCTCCTGGAGCATCTTCTACCTTTTGGCAAGTGACGGCTAAAGTGAAGCCCTGTGAATCCTACCTACAGTAGGCCAAGAGTCAGAAGCGAACCCTCTTAAAATCTGGTAGACTTTAAGGGACAGCCACCTAGCACAGAGGTTAGCACTGATGACGTGACCTAGTTGGGTTATGAAACGTCTGCAAGAAAGCAACCCAGCTCAGAGAGCACCAAGGACCCCACAGTCCTCCTCCTCCTCCTCCTGCCTGCAAACCCCACTCCCTTCTAGCACTGATGATGTTACCTAGCTGGGTAAGGAAATGTCTGCAAGAAAAGAACCCAGCTCAGAGAGCACCAAGGACCCTAGAACAGAGTTCTAGCCAACCAGTCCATAATCAGGACCCCTCAGGACCTCCAGAGTTTACAGGAGGCATAGTAACCCATGATAAAACAAGAGTTAGAATCTGATCGTCTGAGCAATGGTCACTGCCATCCCTGCATAACCTCAGGAACCTCTTCAGATTCATCTTTCTTTTTCAGAAAGAAGGAATTTAGAGTCAAGAAGGACCTTTTCCTGACGCCACAGCAGAAGTTCTGAGCTTCACTCTTTGGTGAAACAGCCCCCGGTGTCCCCAGGTTCCTGTCTCAGAATTTGATTGGCCCTCAGTCAATCATGAAAGATCAGAAGGTGTCAGAGGTCCGTGCATTTGACCCCAAAACCTGTGATTTCTTCCTGTATGAGAGCAATCTTTGACAGGGCTGGCAGGCAGCTACCTCTCCGCCCCCACAAATATCCTGGATGCTCAGGAATCCCTTTGTTATTCAAAGGAACTTCCTGCTCAACCAGTCCAAGAAAAGTCTTTGCGGTTACTTAGCAGACGCTCAGGCTCAACCAACTTCATTCCTCCTGAGGAAGAGACACTCGGCTACTGTATTTGGGCACCAAGCGGGGAAACTGATCTCTTTCTGCCAGGCAGGCCGGGCTCCCGGGGCCAGACAAGGGCTGCAGGTGTTCGGCAGCACCTGGACAAGGCTTTCCGACTTGCAGAGGGGGGGGGGAGAAAGGGAATTCCAATAAAGGAGAATATCTGTAGCTCAGGGCTGAAACCCGCAAGTTCAGAGGACACCGAGCAGCCCCCAAAGGGACTTCCTCTCCTAGGCACTCTCAACTGTTTTAACTCAATCAGAAGAGAGCTGGAAGGGACCTTGGAGGTCTTCTAGTCCAACCCCCTGCTCAACCAAGAGACCTTATACAATTTGAGACTAAGTGGCTGCCCAGTCTCTTCTTGAAAACCTCCAACGATGGAGCACCCACAACTTCTGGAGGCAAGCCGTTCCACCGGTTAATTGTTCTTCACTGTCAGGAAATTCCTCCTTAATTCCGGCTCGCTTCTCTCCTTGATTAGTTTCCACCCGTTCTTTCTTGCCCTGCCTTCTGGGGCTTTGGAAAATAAACTGACCCCCTCCTCGGCTTTGTGGCAGCCCCTCAGATATTGAAATACAATCCCTCCCCCCACTCCTTCTTTTCTCTAAACTAGCCATAGTCCAAGTAGGTGACGTTGGCTTCGGACTTTCTTTAAGAGATAAAAAGTATGCTGGCCAACGGAAGCCAGCAGAGCAAGAGCTGCTATTTTAAAAGTGGATCCATTTTTTCCAAAAGGTTCAAATATATTAAAACCCCTCATTCCGTTACCTCTCTGGGCGTAGCTGGAGTCCATGTCCTTAAAGTGCACCATAACGAAATCTGAAGACTTGAACAAGATGCTCTCAATTATGTCTTCTTGTTTGGGCCCCAGACTGGATTCCGCCGTTTTCTGATGAGCGGCGTCCAGCACTAAGTCACACTGGAAGACACGGGGGGGCGAACAGAATCAGGCCCAGCTCCCTGGCCAGCAGCGTCACGGAGCAACACCATAACAAGCAACATTCCCCCCCCCAGCGAAATGTCAACTGTCTGACTGGCCCCCTAAACAGTCAGCAACTGGACATATCAAGGTGCATGATGAAGAGTAGCTGTGGCTGGACATTTGAGGTCCAGTTCAAGACTAAGGACTTCTCTGCTCTCCCCTCCCTTAGCCACTAACTCAGGGGTCTTCAACCTTGGGCACTTTTAAGACATGTGGACTTCAACTCCCAGAATTCCCCAGCCAGGGAGTTGAAGTCCACATGTCTTAAAAGTGCCCAAGGTTGAGAAACTCTATTCTAAAGCAATGAAATTAAAGGAGTTCAAGGTCCAGCCATTTATCTTAATTTTGTTTCACGTGATTTCTACTTTCTCCAAGAACCGAGATGGCGAAACAGACCCTCCAACTTTCTCATGCTTCCTGCCACGACATTCGAGAGAGAATGACGGCCTGAAAATTCTGAGTTTCCGTGGCTGAGAAGGGTCCCAATCCTGGCTCTTTCCAGTACTAGCCCAACCTTATGCAACCCTGAGACCCACCAGGCCCCATGATCCCCAGCCAGAAGATTTAGATCCGTTTGATTGGGTCAGGCAAGGAGGGAGAAAAGGGAAGGAAAATGTTATTTACCTTAGAGCTGTATGTTTTAAAAACTCCTTCATATATACTTCCATTTTTCACCTGTACTTCACATTTTGATCCCTGTGTGGAAAAAGGAGGGGAAAGAGAAGAATCATGATCAGAAAGTCTCATTTTAAGACTGGGATTAAGATTACCATGCGGTAAGAGGAGCAGCTAATACATTTTACAAATAAATAAAAATTACATCCATTTATAGGCAAGATCTAAACTCGACTTCTTTCTCTAGCCTCTGACCTTAATTTTTTTTTCATGCTTCCCTAAAGAGCCCGGCCCTAAGACTCAGCCTCCACACACACCCCTGGCAATACAAAACGACACCCCCAACATTACCAGGATCTCCCCATGCTTTGAGTTTATGAATTTATTATCCAACGAGGCAAAAAATAATGGAAGCAAAATCCAAGCAACAGAAGGCAAAGGGCAAAAACACCTCTCAAGAATCAAAACCGTGAAGAAAAAAAAACAAGAGAATGTACAATACAAGGGAATCTGGGTCCCGGCCATCTTCATCACTGGACCCAACGTTGCTCCGAGTCCTACAACGGGTTGATCTGCTCAACGACGCTTCAAAAAAGTCCTCCGCAAGTGAGCCCAAAATGTGAGACTTGTTAAGTGAATTTTCCCCCATTTTACAACATTTTTTTCTAAGTGAATCACTGTGATTGTTAAGCCGGTAACCTGGTTGTTAAGTAAATCTGGACTTTGCTGGTCCAAAGGTGGCAAAAGGGGAATCACATGATCCTGGGATACGGCAACCGTCGTAAGTATGAACCAGCTGCCCAGCATCCAAATTCTGATCATGTGACCATGAGGAGGCTGCCCTGTCATAAGTGTGAAAAATGGTTGTGCGTCCTTTTTTCAGTGACTTTGTAACTCTGAACAGTCATTAAACGAACTCTTGTTAAGTCGAGGAGTGCTTCTACTCAGCCTTCCTTCTCTTCCACTAAACTTCACTTCACTCCAACAAAGACACGAAACAGAAGCCAGGAGCCTGGCTACTCTCTCCTCCCCCCCCCTCTTCTTTGCAACAAAATAAAATTGCTTTTTGCTTCGCAGGATATTGGGAGCAACACTGAATTTTGCGCCCGAACAGCAAATGCAAAAAACTTTGTAAGCCTCAAAATAAAGAAGCAGCGGATGTCAGCATACTTAAGAGAAAGATTCCCCCCCGACACACATACATACACACACACACAAACCCAGTAATTGCTAGATTACTGAATTTAGAAGTTTCCGTTTCTAATGAAAAGCGAAGCGTCGCCAAGGAAAGAGGCAGCCATAACTTACGACAACGGATGTGAGTATGTGAACCATTCTCATGTTTGCGTATATGCCTTGAAAGGGGATCTGAAAGAAGAGAAAGAGTGTGGTACGCATGAGAGCACAACTACACACAGCACACGGACACACGGGATTGGCGGCAAGCTCTGAGTTGGGAGTGGCGGAGGTGACACTAGGAGAAAATCTTGGGAGGCTGGGAAGACTGTAAATGTAGACTACCTGAACACATCGAGAGCCATTCCTGAGAAACTCCAGGTCTGCTTACTGGACGTCCTCCCACTCTTAAGGCAGCCACAGCTCACGTTGGGGATGTGCAACCTCAGCAACTTTAAAATCTGTGGACTTCAACTGGCTGGGGGATTCTGGGAGTTGATGTCCATAGGTCTTAAAGTTGTCCAGGTTGGACACCCCTGCCATCAGTCCAGGCGTACCACGGGAACACGACCACCTGTCTCTGCCTACTCTCAGCCTTCCTAGGACTTCACCACCACGTCAACGTGCCTACAGTCTTCCCGGGAGGTGGGGAGGAACGTAGGGAGAGGTCTACTACTCAATGGAACTCCGTACGGACGTACATTCCAAGCGTCTGGTCCTCGTTCACCCAGGCTGGGCAAAGAGGAAGTGTCCCCCATGGAGCTGCTTCTGGTGGGCTTGCACAGCCGTCCTTGTCGCGTGGTCAGAGGTTCTAAACTGGGACCGTCTTCCATTCCCCCCCCCCTTCGGACGTTACTCTCGTGTGCCAGAGAAGAAGAAGAACAAAAACTCCATCCTATCGTTTGCTCCTTTTGGGCAGCTGAGTGTCTCCTCTGGCTGGCTGTGATCCAGGCTACTCTGCTAAAGGGGAGGAGGGGGGGTCTACCCCTGCTTTACACTGAAGTAGCCTGGGGTTTGTGACATCACTGATTAATGTGGTGGAGAAACTATTCAGTGAAGGGGCAGCCTGGCTAAAATGTGGCTTTTGGCTTGCTGGGTCTTATTACTCCTCCAAAATCTGCATGAGGTTGGCAGGGGTCGGTTGGTGTGGCCCCAGGGGAGTAGAAAGGGCTGCAGGACAGAGGACTAAACATATTCCTCCATTAAGGGTGTTGGGAGAGACTCTCTAAACCCAACTGCTTCCTGGGGCAAAGGTCGAGACAGAAACTCTACAGGTGTAACGATATATAACTGGGCTTCTTAAAAACAAATGCCGTGGCAAGCAAACACCAAAAACCTATAGATGGCAAATAATATCCGCAATAATAATAATTAATATTTATCTCTGGAAATATTTCCATGTGACAATTTGAAGGCGCAGTATAGGCCCTTACACACCGATGGGCATTGTGACATTAAGTGGGACGAGGTCTTTACCGTTATGAGGCAGTTTTCATTGCTCTAAACAATGAAACACATTTTGAGTTTTGACTTTTATAAAGAATGAATCAACCAACAAGCGTCAAGGAAGCGGAAAAATGAAATGTTGTACTTACCGGTGGTTGAGGGGGCCCTTTGCCACTGCTGCGCCCTCTGAAATTAATAATAATAAAAAAGAGATGAGATCAGAGCAAATGGAAGAGTTATTATCATTGCCGAAACTGTAATTTCACCCTAGGAATGAAAAGGCTAAGAAACGTCAAAATCCAGGACTTTTCAAGGCATGGGGACCGTTAGTTAACAGGAATATTTTTTTTACAGATCAAACGCTGGCGCAGATTCAGTGTGGATTAAGCTAAAGTCGCTGCCAAGGTGGCTTGCTTGCCATTTTTTAAATCATTTTTTAAATACATCCCTTAAAAAGCAGCAGGTCAAACGAGCATCGTTCCAAGTTGATCCGCCTCCTCGCAATTTTCAGCGCAACCCACAAGGAAGGAAGAAGCGATGAACCAGAATTCAAACGCACAGCCACCACATAAAACGCCCGTCTAAAGAGGCACAACGTGGTCCCATTTCAACACAATAAAACAAAGGTTTCCTGGCTGGAATGTGAGGACCCAAACCAGCAACCATCCAGCTCATGGGGGTCATGAGGAGCCGACAGGCTGCACACACAGCACAACAAACCTCCCGAGCAGCGTTTGGCGAGCTAAAAATATTTAAATACCCCCTTCCAGTGTTTCCATGCAGAAGGGAAGCCTGAATGCTTTGCAAGCCCAGCTGAGGTTGCAGAACCCTCCGGTGCCCTGCAGCTCTCGATGCACCAGGAACAAGCCACCGTGACACTCCCAATTTGCCGGACAACAATGCTCGGTATTCATCACCACCGGCCAGGTTTCCTAGGAATGCTGGGAAGTGTAGTCCAGTAAGCCCAGGAATGTGGCACCCACAACATGCTGATCAACTCCCTTCGGTAGGAAGATGCAACAGGAGGAGCTCTGTGTAAAACCTTTGGCTGCTTTCCTATCGTGATTTTTTTTCCCCTCCCAATCTATGGGTTTGAGCACTGAGAATAGACATTTCTGGGCCGTTTTTCCCAAGTAATTAAATGCTTATGCTTATGTCTCCCTGTATAAAAGCCTCTCGCCCATTTGACAACCAATATAATACTTAAAGCTTGTTAATTAACTCAACGCATTTCGCTTTGGGCTCAGAAGCTGTCCTGCTCCCTTACGGAGCCCCTCTGCTACGCAAGCTCCAAAACTCCAGTTTCCTTTAGGATTGCCCTGCCTAGAAAGTTCCCCAATTTTCAGTAAAAATCCCTCTACGTCCATCCCGGTTTTTAAGAGGGGCATGCTTATCAAAAATTCAACTGAGCTTCGGTTAGAAGCATTAACAAGAATTGCTAAGTAAATGTTAGAAGACAAACTACTCCGTGTAACTTCCCCACCCAGGTCCTCCCTCTTGCATTACCACCAGGAGCAAAACACTCAAATTTCAGTCATGTGACCAGGAGCCCTTGTTCAGCCTTGGAGGGGGGGGCACGGTGGTGTCTTCCCTCCCAGAGGCCTCAACCTCTCGCCCATGACCCAAACAGGCGGGGGGGGAGGTCCCAACCAAATGGGGGTTCTCGAAATCTCTACTTCCGAGGGATACTTCTCTCTCCAAAGGCTGGTAGGTCAGCCGAGATGCTGGTGGCAACTTCCAAGCAGGAACCAGTGAGGTCCTGGGAGCTTCACCGTCTTAACGGTGGCTCTCAGTGGAACCCCAGAATTTTCACGGGGGCTTCCTCTGCAACAACTCTGCAAGTTTGAAGAGCCACCAGCCTGGGCTTTGGACGAAGCAAATCAGGGCTTGGAAAAAGGAGTCGCCAGCTGGGACCCACGGATCTCCTCCCACCAAAGAGACCAGCGATTTCTCCTAGAAAATATTTCTTGAAGGGGACGCCAGCAGCTCTCCGAGTGAATCCAGAAGGGCCTTCAAGATTTGCCCTGATAGCCTGGGCCCAACAAGGACTCGGGTGGGCTCTCCATAAGATGGCTGTCAAAGGCAAGCTGCTCACTGCCACGGCCTTACAAGTCCCTTCTTCTTCCCTCCGAGCAAATCACAACCCAGAGGAAAAAGAACAAGGTGATGTTCCTGGACCAGCTGCCACGTCCTCCCTCTCTCGGATTCTGGAAGGAGGCTAAGCGAAGCCCCCGAGATGCCAGCCTGCTCCCACTTCAGCAGACGCTTCTTGGCCACCAGAGAAGCTGGAGCAGCCACAGGTGGTCCTTGGCGAGAGGACCCCCCCAACTCTGTGGCGTGTTCTGAACTCCTGTAACCAAAACACCAGAGGAGGCAGCACCCACAAAACTTTCTTGTGGGCTCCTTTCCCTCACAACAGCCAGACTCATGCACTGGGAAGCCAACCGGTTGGGCTGCTAACTTCTCAGCGCTCTTGACCGAACTCAGAAAGTCATCCGAGAGAAGTCCCAGGACGGGGTGGGTGGGTGGGTTCCTTCTCTTTCTCTTTCTCTCTCTCTTTTAAATCTATCAATGGTTTTGCCTGCAAAGCGTCTGTTGCTTCTGGGCCATTTGGCTAATGGGAAAAATTGGTTCAGTATGGATCACTTCGTCAATTACCTTCCATCGCTGGCACAGAGAGTCCTCGACTTACGACCACAATTGAGCCCAAGATTTCTGTTGCTGAGACATTTGTTAAGTGAGTTTTGCCCCCATTTTACGACGTTTCTTGCCGCAATGGGAGAAGCCAAATTCGCTGCAATTAGTAACACGGCGAATCCAGCTTCCCCCTGGGCTTTGCTTGTCAGATCGCAAAAGGGGATCACGTGATCTTGGGACACAGAAACGGTCATAAATATGAGTCAGTCGCCAAGCGTCCGAATTTTGATCACGTGACCCTGGGGACGCTGCAAAGGTCGTACCTGTGAAAAACGTCCCTAAGTCCCGTTGTTCAGGGGCGTTGTGAGTTTGAACAGTCCCTAAACGAACTCTCGCTGAGGACCAACTCCATCTGTCTCTTGTGCTGAAAAAGGTTCGTCTCCACAATTTACCAAGGATCTGAACCCGAAGTCAAACCCAAGGTTGCTTGTAGGTGGTCAGTCTACCTAAGGTGGCCTTACCGGAGCAATAAATGTTGTAAAGAGATTTCTGTGCAAGCAGAAGCTGGGAATTTCTACCCTAAAGTTCCTAGCAGGGGTGGGAAAGAAAGGCCGAGGACGACGTGGTTAAAACAGGAGCCAAACTGCAGGAGGAGGGCCAGGCCGGGCCAGGATCCTGGCAGCACCTTTTCCCGCGAAATATTATTAAAAGGCATTATTACGTTTTTATGAGCTGCAAGCTCACTTAAGCGCCTGCCTTTTAATCAAATGGGTCTGTTGGATCAGGCGCTACCAAACCTCTTCGGAGTACTGTAAATATTTACAGAATCCCTTTCCAAGGAAGTTGGGCCGATTCTCTTTTAAGCGTTAGATGCACAACGGAAGTGCTTGTTTCATCCAACGTTGGGATTGCCTTCAAATTCAGCTTCCTTACGTATTTTCCTGTTTTGTCCCAGCATCGCTGTGCAAAAAAAAAATTGAATGTATAATTTGAACTGAGCTTTATTAGACAAAGCTCTTTGGGCTGGCCCCAGGTGGCAAATTCCCTCTTTATGACTCTCAGGCCCCAAACAGTAAGGACACCAAGGTTACCCATTTAAGTCTTTCTCA